AACTAGCAAATTCAAGACAAACTACTTGTAATCAACAGAAAATTCCCACTCATGAGTACAGAGCAAAAGTAACTAATCTTCTCAAACTTATCTTCAAAAATTTCCACAAAACAAATTCCCGTTGTCACCAAAATTCTCATTAAAATTCACTTTCTACAATTCACAAGACTAACTCAATTTCTACTGTTTAAACAATTCTCACCTGACAACTTTTCACAAACTTAAAACTCAGAAGATAACTAATCTCAATTACTCTGACTCATTAAACTAATTAGAACTTCACTCAAGCTGATGAATGCAATACAAAAAAATTAAATAACCAAACATCACTATTGCTGATCTCAGGCAAAAATTCAAATCTAACCCATGTTCACTTTAAAACAGAATTTGGCAATTGAAAAATAACCTTCAATTTTTTAACTCATTCATTTGTATCATTATGCCTTCAGAACTTATAAAATTCATTGCTCAATACTAAATTAAATTTTCTAACACATTACACAATATACTGGAATCATAACAAAACATTGTAAATCAAAAAGCAATAATATACTACGCTAGAGAATCATGAAAACATTACATACATTTCACAAAATATTATTCAATTAAGTTCAAAAAAAATCAAAATTTCTCTAACGTTACCCCTCACAATTATACATTTCACAAGATTCTAGGTTAAATAATTAGCAAAAACACACACAAAAAAAATTTCTAGCTACGCATAGCTATGGCTTGTCTCATTCAGTAAAATAATTAGAGTCTTTAATCTCTTTCTCTTAGAAGTGCTCAAAAAATGAGTCCAGTTTTTACCGACAAGCACTCGAAACTTGTTACAAGGATACACAAATAGCATAGGATTATCGTGAAATAATTCATTTTCCATCTTGTATCAGAAATCAGAAATCAAAAGTATACATCCAGAAAACACTCAAGGATTTTCTACAGTAAAAATATACAGTATCCTATTCTCCTACATTAAAAATATATATTTTTCCTAACTTTAAAGTTCAATTCTGTGTGCCTAACGTTAAAGTCCAAAATTCCTGAAATTCACACACATTTTCAAACTTTATCACTCTCGTATTAACAAATAAGCAAACACAAATCAAAAACTCTAATTAATCCTAGCACCTAAAATTTAACACCTTCTTAAAACAGTAAGTTATACGAAATAAATAAATTCACAAAATCAGTTACTGATTCGATCCTTCACTAAGCAGAGGTCACGGCACCAATGTTATGAAGAACAGAAGTTTCGTGAGAGGATCGTATAAACACAAAAAAAAAATATACACTTATCTGGTGTAGACATCTTGAAGTGGAGGAGAGCTCATATCTTAGCTCTATCCTTACGTCACTTGGCAAATCCGCAAGACAGAGACTCGAACGGCACGACAATAAATTACATCAGCTATACCGTCAAATCTTACGCCGGCTACTGGTTTCCATAGAAGAAAATTCCGTGCCATCCTGGTCACGGCACCAATGTTATATTAAAAGAGTTTCGACACCATGGTTAAATAGTTTTACTTCTAGGTACCATGTTATATCTGAAATTCCTATATTGTTAAATGTTAAATATGAAACTACTTGCCGTTAAAGGGAGTGATCGTATAGTGAAACGTGTACAGCATTTTTGCGTTGTGAAAAAAATGCATTCCGGGACCGCGCCGTGAGAGGATCGAAAACATAAAACATATACAAGATATAAAGGAAAAGTTCATATTAAATATATAAAGAAAACATACTGTAAGAGGTTCCAGATTAAATATCAGTTTATTCAATTACAACACAATAAGAAAATCTTAACCTCATCTGAGAGTCTGTTCATTTAAATTCATAAAAAAAACTAAGGTTTGTCTGGTGATTTAAAAGAAAGGAAAGGGAAACAATTTATGGCCAGAGAGAGTTAAATTTTAGATTCGACGTTGTTTTTTTTACTGCTAAGGACGTTTTTGAAAAACTTGCCTAAAGTTCAAACACACCAAAAAAAAAAATGATACTTATCTTGAGTGGACATCTTGAAGTGGAGGAGAGCTCATATCTTAGCTCTATCCTTACGTCACTTGGCAAATCCGCAAGACAGAGACTCGAACGGCACGACAATAAATTACATCAGCTATACCGTCAAATCTTACGCCGGCTACTGGTTTCCATAGAAGAAAATTGTTCCCACTGGAAGCAAGAGAACAGCTTACACTGCACGGCTGTCTGCCTAGACTCTCAGCTCCACCAAGGAAAACGTAGACAATTAAGCTAGGCATTTTAGAGAACGGCTAACGCAGGCTTCCAGTTGTCTAAGGTGACATAATTCCTTCTGTTTTCAAGTCGGAGTTCAGAGGACATCGTCCTGACTTTTGCCGATACAGATAGAGACCCAAGTCTCTGTTAATTTTTTGTTATTCGCTCAACAGTTTTTTTTTTCTTCGCATTTTTGAGAAAACCCGCGGCCGGGGAGCATAATTGCCGCTCCCCGCCGGAAGCACTGCTCGATGCCGACTAAATCTTTTCCTTTCTCCTTCGCAACACCCACAAGTTTTCTTCTCAGTCTCTGTCAACAAGTCCGTCAAGCCCGAAAGTCAGCGAATCCAAGCAGTGAGTGCCTAAGCGAGTCCAGAGTAAGTGTGTAAGAGAGTCTCGCCTCTTAACCAAAACGCGGCCGGGGAGCATATTTGCCGCTCCCCGCCGGAAAACACCTCTCGGAGTCACTTACATTTTGTCCAGCAAGCCCAAAAATCAGCGAGTCAGTCCGAGAGTCAGCCAAAAGTAAGTGTGTATCCAACTCGAATTTCCTTCGTCTCCTTCACAAAACGGGCTCCCACTATGGCTTCACTTATCGCCCCCTTAATTATGGCAAAATCTTCGTTTTCAACTCCAGAAAGAATGCGGAAATAAGGGTGATCACGCATGCGCGCCCTTCTTCACTTAGCCAACAACCGGACCCTCAATCGCCAAAAACCTGAATGACTTACATTGAAAGACAAGTAGCAACCTTTGACCTTTCCGTCACGTACTTTCCTCTCTTAAGGTCAACTAACAATGAAAATTCTTTCTCGAACATTCTGAAGCGCGCGAAATCATGACTTGGCGAAAATTGCCTCCCTTTCCCTGCTTCTTTCACAATGAATAAAAGTTTGTACAAGATTACAAATAGAGGAAAATAAATAATACTCTTTTAAACTAAATAATATTTCCAGAAGCATCTGTTTTTCCCCAAAATTAAAGCCTTAAATTAAATAATTCAGAATCAAAATAAAATTTAAATTTCCATAAATCATAAAATCATTCACCTAATTTTTATAACGCTATCCGGTAATTTCTCTACATAACAATAGTACAGGAATCTCCACTATATGTTAAAATTTAAAAAAGAAAGTTACTTGAAGAGAAATATATTAAAATAAAGCATGTGAAATTACCACTGCATAAATTAGTCGAATGGTGGGGGGATAAATGATTATTTGCATTATCAAGAATACACAAGGTGAAACCAGGCAGTTTCATATAAATAAGAAAAAGATTACTATCCTTCAAATAAATTTTACTAACTTTAAAAATTTATCTCCTTCAAAATAATCTTTCAGATTTTCAATCTACATCTTTCTTTGCTTAACCTAAGCATGTTTAAAAGTTTCTAATATGTTACATGCCTATCAGCTTTTACCAAAGAATGAATTTTCTCATAATTTTCCTCATTCTTTGAAAATGAAGGGCATCCTGTCTTTGGTTCATCTTCAGCACTCTCACACCCATATTTAAAGTTGTTGTATTCTTCATACACTTGTGTTCTTGATAAGGATGCATCACCAAATACTGTTCGAATCATTTCTAATGTTTCAGTAGTATATATACCTAATTTGTAACAAAGTTTAATGTTATAACATTGGGTTCCATCTTGAAGCAAATTTTCTTGTACATTGTCTTCTCAGTAAATGAAAAATGACTGTTTCATTTTGATATGCTAATGATAAAATAAACAGTTTAAACTGTTTTCAACCAAGTGGTGAGATGTTTTTCTAAACATGCATTTATTCTGTCACTTCTTTATTTTAGCATTTGGTCTTTTAATTTGTACAGCTACTTTATGGGTGCACCTTATTTGTAGATAAATACATAATTAATTTCTTCTGAAACAAATATCTGTCTAGCCAAAAATATTATGCATGTTTCTATAAGATATGTTTTCTAGATAGTTGCCTGTGGAGTAATTTTTTGAAATATTCTTTTCATGATTTGACTATTACTGTAAGATTTACATTTTAAAAATGACTATTACATTATCATATTAGAAACACTGAGCATGTGAAAAAATGAAAGTATTTAAACTAAGCATAAAATTTCATGGAACTGAAGGAAATATTCAAAATTTTGCCTAATTTTATTTATTCTTTTATTGATCTGACAATTTGAAGGTGGATGAATATGTACCATCTGCTAAATAATTATAATAATAAAATCTCTTCAACTTTTATTGAAGCAAAATTTGATTTAGGCAATAATTTATAATATTTAAATTGAATTTTAACATAAATTTGCATATCTCTACCTGTTTTTATACTTAAATGAAGGATTAATTATATAACTTCTTAAGGATTTATTAATTTTCATGAATTCCATCCAAAAAGTATTTCCCCCTCCTATAAGAAATTTTATGCTGTTTACGTTTTTAAGTAAACTTTTCAATTTAAATTGCATGCAAGCTAGTATTACTTTCTAGTTATCCAAATAAGATCTAAAACATAAGGAATATTGATCAGTCATGGTATGAGGCGAGTTTTGCTCTGGTCAGAGTGCTTCTTCAATTTTTCAATGTAGTTATATTATAGACGTGAGAATCAGAAGCAGCTTTGGCTTTTAAAATGCACAGTTATGGATAGTAAGAATTCAGTCATCATAATCCAATATTATATCTTTCTTAACATATTATATATATTACATTCTCTCTTATTGTTATATGTATGCTTTCAACTGATTACTTTTTTTTCCCCCTGGCACTACAGACACTGGATCTCAAAACATTTTATCCTGGTACCCTTTTAGAAACTGGTCATGATATATTGTTTTTCTGGGTTGCACGAATGGTGATGTTAGGTCAACAGCTGATGGGAAAGTTACCTTTTAAAGAGGTAGACCATTTCTTATAAATTTGAAATTTAATTTTACAATTTCTTTAAAGCAGTGTTATAAATTTTATTAATATCTTCAGCATGTGAAAAGTATTGTATTGAATTTTTTTAGATATAGCTGCAATTGCCATTATTATTATTTTAAATTTAAAATATGTTCTGCATTAGGTATTTCTCCATTCCATTGTGAGAGATGCTCATGGAAGGAAAATGAGCAAGTCATTGGGAAATGTAATTGATCCCATTGATGTTATAAATGGAATCTCATTACAGGTAGGAAAAAATTATTTGATTTTCTGCTTCTCAAATTAGCTTTCAGTATCTAATTAGAAGTTTGTCCTTGCCTATAGAGGATATTCCACAAGTTTAAAGTATAACACACTTATAGAGAATAAGTGTCTAAAATTACTTTCTCAATTTCTTACATAGTTTCCCTCAATTTCAATGCACTCAGCATTTGTTGATCACCAGATTCCAGCACAAAATAGTATTTTGTCTCTGCCTTTCAAGGAATTTCTGAGTGACATCTATTATATAATTAATCAACTACTATTGATCGAAGTTGTCAGCATCCACTGACGTATGCAGGTTCTATTATCTGATTTAGAAACAGGAAAAAAACTTCATTTACTTTTTCTGGTGTGTTATTGACTTGAGCATGCTATCTCAGCTGGCAAAAGAAGAATCTTCTTTATGGAAGACACAATTCATTTCTTCACACCGTAGTTTTATTTACATAAATCATTCAAAGGGAAAAAACAATATTCAATTACTGTTTCTTATACAGCCTCTCTTTATCACTCATGACTGTAAGAATCAATTATCCATCCATCCTGGCATGGACTGGAACTGAAACTCGCTGTCTCCTTCCCCCCCCCCCAAAAAAAAAGAAAAGAAAAAAGAAAGAAAAAGAAAAAAACTAAGATTTAAATTTTCTCTCACTAGTGGAAAACCTGATGCCATCTAGTGAGGGAAAGAAACACTTTAACATGAGTACTTAACATCTTTCAAACCATTGTCATCGCTGTAATGGGAACTACACAAATACTGCTTCAGTTTTTGAAACAAAAAATTACTTGGAACTAAGTCTAATGAATGCAATAGATGGGACATCTGCATTACTGAATATTAGTCTTAGAAATCTGAGCATTATTATGAAAAAGCAATACTTTTCTGCTGAGTTGGCTATGGCTTTTTACTTTTATAACATGCCAGAGTTGAGTGGACAGGTTAGTATAATAATTATCTGTTGTTGTGATATGTGACATATAATCAATAAGCAGTGGTCCCTCTTGATGTTGAAAAATAAACTCGAAAATTTTTTCAGTAGGTTTCTGGGTTCTGAACTTGATTTAAATTTAGTAATTTTACCTGAAGGTTTAACACAATGAACAGATCTCAGCATTAATAAGTATTCATTTTTCCATTTATTCCAAAACATACTTACCAATCTTTCTCGATAATTAAATCTTTCAATTAGCATTTTCCTATTAACTAAATTAGAATCAAAATGAAGCCTGGCAGGAGGCAAACTATTCACCCTGCGCCCCAATAGCATATGAGCTGGAGTTAGAGCCATAGGTTCCTGTAATTCAGAATAAACATAAGTTAAAGGACGAGAGTTAAGAACACCTTCAATTAAGAACACCTTCAATTTCAATAAATTAGAGTTTCTAACTCTTCTCGAGATAAAGTAGTTTTTCTTAGAGTTTTTCGTAAAGCAAGTTTTACAGATTTAATTAGTCTTTCATAGAAGCCACCCCACCACGCAGCTTTCTCAGCGATATAGCACCATTGGATTTTGTGGGAGGCGTAAAAGTCTTTTACTGTTGGGTGACTAATGACAGCCCACAAAATTTTAAGTTCAAGTTCTAATCGCTCGAAAGGTTTGGCATTGTCCATCAAAACTTGAGAACATAGACCTCGACAAACAATGAGTCATCGAAAAGCAAGAAGAAATATTTCTGTGGTCATGCTACCCACAAACTCTAAATGAAGAGCTTGCGTTACTCCACAAGTAAACAACACAATGTAGTTTTTCTCATCACTGTCTTTGGTATAAAGTGGTCCACCGAAATCTATACCTACTACAGAAAAAGGAGGTAATTCTTCTGTTCTATTTGCTGGTAAAGGAGCAGTAACTTGCACACCAGGAGAAGAATTAAATCGTTTACACAGAATACATTTTCTTAAGATATTTTTAACAGTTTGTCTTCCTTTAATTATCCAGTATCTTTCGCGTATTTCTGTCAAAGTTTCAGAAATTCCACCATGAAACACTTTGCTGTGTGCATCCCACACTAATAAATTCACAAAGTGATCTTTTGAGGGCATAATAATTGGGTGTCTTTGAAGGTAAGAAAGTCTTGACCTCTGAAAGTCTTCTACAAACATGCATTATCCCGTCATTATTAAGAAAGGGATTCAGTTCTGGAATAGAAGAAGTCTTAGAAATTGTTTTACCCTGTCTCAAAGAGGACAGCTCTTCCGCAAAAGCTTCACTTTGAACAGTTTTTGTCCAGATAATTTCAGCCTCGTTAAGTTCTTCAGTGCTTAGTTCACCACATTGTTTAGTTTTAAATTTAAGGTTGTATATAAATCATAGTATCCAACTTGTAACACGGTATAATTTTCTTAAACTACTATATCTATTCAAATCCATTCAATGTGTCAAATTCGATTGCACTTCGCACACAAAAGACGATACTTCTTCCAGTTTACTTTCTTTTTTCGCAATATACTTCTGGAGAAATCTCTAGACGAATAATTTCATAATTAGAGCCTTTTGGCCAATCCCTTTTCTTCAACCGAAGCCATTCTGGACCTTGCATCCAAATCGAACTGGACATAAACTTTTCCACGGTGTAGCTCCTCGAGATATGAAATCTGCAGGATTATCCTGCCCACTACAGTGATTCCAATCAGCAGGATCAGTTCTAGACTGGATTTCGGAATACACGGTTCGATACAAAAGGTTTCCATTTTGAAGCTTTCCCTTTAATCCAATGAAGAGCGATTAAGGAATCTGTCCACATTTATACCCTAGGCACAGGAAATTTAAAATTTGTTTTCAAATATTGGAAAAGTCTGGAAGAAATAACAGCTCCTATAAGTCCAAGCCTCGGTAATGTTAACCTTTTAAGCGGTGCAATTCTAGATTTCGCAGTGATAAAACTTGTATAAATACAATCATCACTTGACACGTAACGGAAGTATGCAACTGCTCCGAAAGCTTTAGGAGAAGCGTCAGAAAATATGTGTAGTTGTAATTCTTTCACCAACTTCCATGGTGTGGAGAAATATTTTCTTTCGATTGTCAAATCTTTCAACAGATAAATCCGAGAGCACCAATTATCCCAATTTTTCTTCAAGTCAGTTGATAGCTCATCATCCCATCCTAAACCAAGTTCCCATATTTCTTGCATTAATAATTTTATGAGAACAATAAAAGGTGATGCAATTCCCATAGGATCAAATAACTTTGAAGCAGTCTGAAGTACACTGCGTTTTGAATTCTTCCTATCACAGGTCATGTCCAGTAGAAGTTTTACATCTAACTTAAAAGTATCTTCTTCGGTGTTCCATATTATGCCTAAAACCTTCAAAGGACATTCTTTAGTTTCTGTCAAATCAGACAAACCTCGTTCACTCCATAAATTTCTCAGCTCATCCGAATTAGTATTAAATTTTCTTAAATTCATGTTCGCATCTTTAAGAATTTTTACAGCGCTCTCTGAAAGTTCTAAAGTTTTGTCTATTGTATTTGCTCTGTAAAAAAGATCATCTACATAAAGTGCCGAGTCAAGCATTTCACAAGTTTCGCTTTGTTCAAGTTTATATTTTCTAATGTGGTATTTAATAGTCGCAGCAAGGATAAATGGGCTTCATGTCACTTCAAAGGGAACGCGAGTCATTCGTAAAATTTTGTAAGCTTTTGAATCACTTTCATCTGAAAAACCAGAAAAAAATGTAAATAGTTTCTATCCTCTTCCGCTATTCCTATGGTCAAAAATGCTCCCTGAATATCACAGCTGAATGCATATTCATATTCGTGAAATCGCAAGATTACATTCAAAATTCTGGGATTCAACGGTGGCCCAGGATTCAAGCATTCATTAAGAGATTTGCACCCATTATCTTTTGACGATGCATCGAAAACCAATCTGACTTTCGTAGTGTCCCTGTCCGATCTTGCTCCAGCTGAATGGGGATATAATAAGAATTCTCTTCTAAGCCGAAAGGACATTCTTCAACGATATTCAGTTTTAATTGCTCCTTAACTATATTCTTATATTCATTATAAAACCAATCATTTTCTTTCATTTTTACACTTAAGTTACGAAATCTTCGTTTTGCTACCGCGAAATTGTTAGACAAGTTTTCTGGTTTACCATCCCAGAATAATTTAGTTGTATACATTCTATTTTCATATTTTAAATTACTTTCGAATTGAGAAATAAATTCCTCTTTAAATGTAAAATCTCCACTGTGAGTATCATTTATCCCCATTGAATCTAACTGCCAAAACTGCGTTAGTTTTTCATTTAATGCGGCGCAACATTCAATTTTCATAATAGAAATATCGCGATTCGCATTTAAATCTGATGGAGGGATTCGACCTTGAACAACCCTTCCAAACAGAGTATCAATCAAATACAAAGATTTGTTTAATCACTGTTTTTCTCCCGTATGAATATCCCAAAAATACTGTGCTCCAATAAGGAGAGACAATTCATTTCCTGACGATTTACTTAAGTTTGACAACTAAATGTTCTTCCTCGAAAGTATTTGCATTAATTTGTTATGTGATACTTTAAACTGCGATCCAGAAATACAGTCAGTCAAAAGTGCTTCAATCATTATTTTCTTGTCCGAATCACATAAATTACAAAGTGAAACCGAACTACGTCATACGTTTTTGTATTGGCACTCTAGAGCCGAAAGTGTAAACAGCTAGACTTTCTTGTCTAATTATGGGTAGTTTCATTTCTACGGCTACTTCTTTTTTCTCAAAAAAACATCTCTGTGATGCATTATCTAACAAAATATTAATCTCTTTGCTCTTATTATTACTGCCTATTAATACTGCGGAGCAAGTTTCAAGTAGTATGTCGCAATCATCTGATTCATTCACACATGCTATGCTACAGAAGACACAACATTTAATTTATTCGCGTCGACGGTCTTGACGAGACTCCTGAGGGGGGGGAAGAAGAATAAAATCATTGGGTTCATCGCAAATCAATTCGTGATGCATAAAACGTTTACAAATT